GGAGGTAGTACTCCTATAGAAAGTAGTTACTATGAAAACAAAATAAATAATATATATATATATATATACACACACACACACACATATATATAAAACCATTCAGTTGAGAGTAGGGTGGTGATATTCTGCTGGTGTAGGTGATGAGATACCCTCCACTATGTAACATTGAAGTGAGCTGTCAAAATTGCAGTTCACCCCTTTGATTGGGATCCCTTATCCTTCCCCCAAGTGGATGTTGGTTCCCAGTTGCTGTGTTTCGGATGTAGAGCTGAACCAATTAATGTAAGTTGTCACACAGGTATTACATATGTCTCTATTCCCACACTCATTTATACTCGTGTTCCCTTGTCCTTGTTGTGGGTTGCATTGGAGGTACTTACAGAATACTATGGTTCTTCCACTTTTGCTATCCCTTGATGTTCTTATTATTCTGAGGAGGTTACTGTGCTTGGGGTGGTTCCTGGAATTTTGATTTTGAGTGAGATGGTTTACATTATGCAGACATCTTTTTGATACCAGATGTCAGGTTCCCGGATCGATCAATCCATTTCTCACATTGGTATCACGTGTCCCGTTCATAGGTTGGGGAGGGTACGAGATTCTCTCTGGTCTTATGAACTTGAGGTAAAGATGGTATGGTCCTCTTTCCTACACCCACCAGATGGCTGGGTTTGGATTGTAGTTGACTTGTCACTGGTATGATCCTCATCCTACCCCTGCATGGATGTTGGTTCCTGGAAGCCTTGGTTTTGGATGTAGTTGACTTGCTGAGTATGGTCTGTTGCACCTTAGCCACTCTACAAATGGAGGCACATCCTTTTACTCTCACCCACATTTATGTTCTATGGGAATGAGATTCATGTGTAGTGTGGTTCGAATCACTATCCAACTGTAGCCATCTCCCTATTTCCACCCATATCTGCAACACCTTTTTTCCACACTGGGCAAAGAATGTACCTGATACAGAAGTGGTGTGGTCTCCCATGTATGGTCTTTGACTCCAAAAATCTCTTTGGAAGTGTCCATCAGATGTTTTTGAAGGATGATTCTTTATTTCCCTCACACAGGTTCCTCCACCTCTTCAATGTGGGATTCTAGCTATTTATGTGAGTGGAGATAATGTACTGTATTGGAAGTTATAATTTTCATATACTGAAAATGTATTTCCAATAGGTATTTACCACTTCCCAACCTATGCTTCCTACTGAAAACTGGTGCTTCCATTTTCTGCCAAAACTCAAAGTGATAGTTCAAGAGAGTATGTCACACTCTTATTGGTGGAGGGTTGTCGCATGATGATTTACATACAAGATGCATTGGAATCAGTCAATTCCAGATATGGGAGATTCAAGACTTGTGGCATGTGCAAAAAAACATTTTAAATATAGAGGGCAGCACAGAACAAGAATAGTTATTTATGTGAAAGTAGGTAAGTACCTATTGGAAATACATTTTCAGTATAGGAAAATTATAACTTCCTTAAAACCTAGTTGTTAATGTAAAGAATTGATCCATATCCTGACTAGGTCTTTCTTCCAAAGGCATACCAATGAGCTTATTGAATGCTGTGCCAAATTATTTTATTTAGGTGCTGTAACTCTCTTTGTTATAATCCTCATGAGAAAACAAACTTGATGAACTAATTCAAGTGATGTATATTAATGTTTATGGTTGTTCACTTTTAAGATAATGCTATTAAAATGTGACAGTTTGTTTCTTTATATATTTTAATTTAAAAATATGTAGTTATTGAATTAATATTATTAATAACCAATTGACCAAACACACTTACACTAAATAAAAAGAAATTGTGAAATTTATATTAAGATCACACTTTAGTCATTGAAGTGTGCAGTAAATAGTGCATGATACATTTTTCTGGTGGTCTCTTTCCTAAGGGGTAAAAATTTATTATAGTTTATATAAATCAGCAAACACTGGAGGGTATGACAAAAAGTATAAATGTTTATTTCCTGCTAGTGTTGCATTTTTTTTCTGCACACTCCACTGTTTATGAATTTTTCGTAATGCCTCACTAAAGAAATATTTGTCATGTGGTTTTTACTGCATAAACATTAATAACTGAATGATTTTATTTTTAATAAAAAGTTTGTGAGTGCTATTGATGAGAAATATTAAAATTATGAAAACAGAAATTACCACAGAAGATAGAAAAAAATAGAATGGAAATATACCTGAAGAACGATTTTTTTTATAGAACATGTGTACAAAATCTGTACAAATTAAATTGTTTTGAGATATTTAGTTAGCTTGACATTTCATTTTGATTTTATTTGTATGCATCCAAACTTTGATAATGTGGTATCACTAATAAAAGTGTAAGAAAATTCCAGTTCTACACTCTTATATTCTTTACCTTCAACAGCAAAAACGTAAGGAGCAGGAGCCAACAATTCCTTCAACCATTGGAGAAGAAAAGACTTTCAATCCATTTATGCGAGTAGAAGTCTCAGCAGTTCAGAAACATTCTGGTACAAGTGATCCAATTAAAACCATGGCAATTATTCGTAAAGAAAAGGATAACTTCTAATTCTGATAGTTTCTTTTTTAAAAATATTGTTGTTACAGAAGTAATACTTATGTTACTGATATGAAAGTAACATTGCAACTATATATGTATAAGTATTGTATATCAAACAGAAATATTATTTTTTGTTTTTGTAGTGTTCATGACTAAGATTTATGTGGTAATTCTCTTGGTTATGCATGCAATCCAACTTTTATCAGTAGTGCAGCAGCTCTTGAAGTTTGGTGAAAATATGATAGAGAATGTATTAATATGTAGACAAATTACAGATTCTGATATTTGGTTTATGGATATTGTGAGAAGACTCCATTTTGAATTTATTGTTTGTGCAAAAATTACTCTGTTGAAGCCAACTAGTTATAAACATGCTTTTCTATGCTCTTGGACAGAGTTAAAAAATAGTAATTTTGTAATGAAATAACTTACATTCATATTGGAAATACATGAATAACACATCAAAGGTAAAGGAAAAGAAAAAATGCTCTAAATTTTGGAATAGTACTTACTTTATGTATAGGAAAAGGTGTTTTTTCTAGTGCCTACATGATGCATCTATATATCTGACAGTACATGTGTATCTATAATAATTAGCTTAAACAATACATTATTAATGCTGTATCTTGATTGGCCTGGTTTTAGACTATGGCACAGGAAAAATAAAGACATGTATATTAAACATACAATAATGTCTGGCCTTACTTGTTCAGTGTGACCTCGAAACAGAGTGTGTAAATGTATAATCTACTATATTTATTACCAAAGATTTAAGTTTTGTCATGTTATATTTGAACAAGGATTCTTGACAGTTGCTGAAAAGTCAATGTAGTTTTACTATAAACTATGCTCTAATAGGTAAGATAAACATTTTCTGGACATTAAGGCTCCTTAAATTTTGCACTACTAAGAATTTTTGAATAATCATGTTTTGGTCAAAAATGTTCAGACCATTTGGACTGAGTTTCAGTCTTTAACAGTACAAAACTTAAAACCAGACAGTGACAAATTATTTCATAGGTCCTGAGAAAAAACAACTAAGACATAGCTTATAGGTAACACAGATTATTTTGTCCCTGTAAACATTGTAAAGTTGAAATTAATAAAAAATAATGTCTGCTTTTTTTAAAAATAAGTTGTTACACTCATATGCCCTACCCCTGAAACAAAGTTTTAGTCATAGTAGTTCTTTATTAAGGATCAAGTGGTTCTTGGGCTCAGTGTGAAGGTTTCCATTACCCATCAAATCCCAGTCTAAGCTGGACATGGCCTAGTGGCTAGTATGCTGAAATGTGGGTCCATGATTTGTGTCCTGTTCCCATAAAGTCATGCTTCACAATTTGGGGCATTGGTCAAATTCCACTATTTGATTAGCTAAGAGTAACCCAAGAATTGGTGGTGGGTGCTGTTGATTATCTCCATTCCCCTTTTAAAATATTCAGGGATAGCTAGTGTAAGTAGCCCTTCTGCACTTTTGTGCAAATATCTGAAATATACATATTTCAAACTTGAATGTACCATTCTTTTCTGTTTATCAATCTTTTATTGTCTGACAATGACCCTCCAATTTCCTTACTTTAAATATCAGTAGCCAATGTTAAAGACTAAGTAATTACCCCTATGAACTATGCATGAATGAGGTTGTAAGATGTAGCAATAAGAGTTTGAGAATAAAACTAATGCTATTATAAAAAAAAACTAGAGCTTAAGTGCATGTTGGTGTAAAAATAAGGCACCTATTCAGTCCTTTGTTTGCTTTCCAAAGTTTTTCATTGAGGTTTTATGTAATTTTGAACAGAAATGCAAGTATTTCAAGTCTTAGTAACAAGTTCACGGTTAATCTCATCTAATAGAGTCGACTTTTAATCTGCAAAAGCATTCATCATAGGCTTTATTAAGGATGTTAAAATAATGTGAAGAGGTATCTATGTCACACTTACCTGATGCATGTTCCAGTTTACTCAACCTCATTCTTGGCTCCATTCATGCATGTTTGCTCAGGTAGTTCAGGAGCTATTGTGGTGAAACCTAATTTATTTTTCAATGGACAAAAAATATATTTTTGTGGTTTCAAAGTACATTTTATTGACTTGAGGCCAAGTTTGAAGAATGAATTTTTGTGAACATTATATAAGGTTAGTAGTCTGCAATTACCTAAGACTAATTAATTTATTAATAATTTTATTTTTCACTAGATACTAACTATTAAGTACCTTGTATTATTGTATGTATGTATGTATTATATATACAAATTAGTTTGTTCTTTTATATATTACAACAAAAACTTTTACCCCTATTTTCTTACCCCTATTACCAGCGCTTACTCGTGGTGGGCACAACACTGATAGCCCATTGGATAGCATTGCGCTTAACAACAACAATCCACCTTTTTGATTCTTTTTGTTTTCAGTTTTAGCTCATTTTCTCCATCCAACAACTAGATATCAGACTGTAAAAAATTATCAGTTGCTATAATTCTATAGCAAATAAGAGATTTAATAAGTAAATTTTGTTCAATTATTAAAAAAAAATTGAAAATACTGGATATCTTTATATTGCATTTTATTTATCTAGCCCAGTAAAATAAAGAGTAATCATATATTTCTAACGACAATACACTCCTATTTTTTTTTTTTAAGGGATGGGTGGAAAAGCACTTTGTCCTATAACCTGTTCAAGCATTCATACATTATTTACCCAACAGAGATATACGCAAGTCTCACCTTGCCTTCTGTTATGAGCAACAACACATTATAGAATAATTTGCTTTAGAATTATCGTGAAAAACTAACAAGGATACTATATGCGTAAAGCTGTCCCTAATTTTGTACTGAGAGATTAGAGGGAAATCAGCTAGTCAAGAACACCCATGGCCAACGTTTGTGCTACTCTTTTCCGGTTGGATAGCGGTATTTGACCTTCATTCGTATAGCGCACTAACGGTTCCAAGGTGTGGTGCGGGTTTTTGCAGTAACGGGACGCGAACCTCGAATCTTTGCTATCAGTTAGGTCACACTCAGCCCACTTATAGAACAATTGAGTAAAAGTATTGCTTTTATAATATTTTAACAACAATGAAATACATATTTTAATTAGGTATGCTCTTTATCTAAAGACCTATTTTTTATGTCATAACGCCAAACTCACCTTTCCTTATGATGTCAAAACCCAAATTCTCGATTAGTGTAAGAGATTTAATAAAAAGCAGATATCGTTATTCTGCAGCGAAACTGCGCATGTTGTATAATGATGTATTAGGTCGTCAAGAAATTAATGTCGCGTTTTGGAACAATTTCATTAACCATCCCCCAAAAAACGTACACCACGTATACTACACTTCACGTTAGTGTAGCCTATATAATATGTAAATTTAAGTATACTCTAATCCCTTATAGTGATGGCATAGGACGAGACACACATTCGGCATGTAACGGTGTTTGAATACAAGTTTATGGAAATGTTTTTAACGTACGTAAGTGTCAACGATGATTCAGCAAATTTTGTTCAGCGACTTTAGCCTTAAAATTGTGATGGCAGTGGCTGACATGTTGGAATTGATACTGATGCTATGAAGACGTTTGTTGAGTCTAACCTAAGGCAACACACTCGTGAAATGGCCCTGAACTTGCATGTCTCTTATGAAAAATACGTAAACATCTAAGGAATATGGGGAAACTCCATAAAAAAACGTGTTTGGGAGCCTTATGAACTCTCCGATGATCATCGTTTCCAACGTGTGAACGTTGCTTCGTCTCTTTTGGCGCGTAATGCGCGTGAACCATTTTTGGACAGAATTGTCACCGGTGAGTAAAAATGGATTCTCTGCGAATATTAAATGCCAAAAACAATGGCTCTGTCCTAAATAAAAACCACTTCTGATCACAAAACCTGTACTCCATCTGCAGAAAGTGATTCTTTGCATTTGATGGGACATCAAATGAGTAATTCATTTCGAACTCCTCAATCCACAGCGAACTGTCAATGCAGAGATCTGTATTCAGCAACTGGAACGTTTAAATCAGAAACGCTCTTCAATCGGAAAGGTGTTATTTTTTTCCACGATAAAGCACGTCCACATGTGGCACGTTTGACGCAACACAAGATTATGGAGTTGGGTTGGGGAATTTTCCCCCACCCTCTATATTCTCCAGATATGGCACCATCAGATTACATCTTTTTTATTTCCTTTAGCCACATTTTTAATGGT